TTCTTCTCGCTTCCCTTCGCTGCTTTCTGTGGGAGCTTTTGTAGTTTCCTTGCATATCTTATGATGTTAAGATTGTGGCCGCCAATAATGAATCCTGGTGGGACTTGTAATTTTTTTCAGAATTGCCTCGCTGCATAGGTTGAATAAGTCCGGTGAGAAGACACGTCTTTGTCTTACACCTCTTTCTATTTTTGTGTATCTGCTGAACTAATTTTCTGCCCGTATGCAGGTGGTTTGCTGCCAGTATAAAGCTCAGACTGTCCTACAGTTTAACCCATAGCTAGATGGAAACGTTAATTTGTAAAATAAAAATTACATAATCAGGTAATTATGATATGATTTCTGAATATAAACATTGTGACATAACATAGCAGAAACGTCACAAGGTTGTTTTTGTTCGAGCATTTTAACGTCGTTGCGCTAACTTGAGAATAAAAGTTGTTTACGTATAAGTGAAAATAACGAACTCTACTGGAATTCGAACTTGGCCCTCCGACTTCTAATTCCGAGCCGCATCCATATATCATTCGCAACTATCACTTTTAATATTTATAAAATCGACGGTAATGTTACAGAATCAGAATTTTTTATGTGATTTCTCTAACTCGTGAAATCACGTGTCGGATTTATAAACAATACTTCCAGATTTTTCAGTCTCTGGAATGATTATATATTAGATGTGTTGAAAAGTTTTCTGTTTTGTTTTGAAAAATAGTGACAGTTGAAAACATTTTTAGCTGGAAACTTTTGCACACCCATAATAAATAGCGACATACTAAATTCTCGTGGGATATGGAGTAAATGAATTTATAATCATGTTTGCATAACATTTATATGAAAATGTGGACAGAAAACGAAGACCGGAAGGGATAAGGGAACAAATGAGTAGATAGAGGCAAAGCATAAGAGAAGAGCAGGGGGACGAGATAGGAAATAATTTCTGTTGTCAACACATAGATTTCCCTCGGGTTCAGCTAATAGGCATGTTATCTGTGTGCATGTAGACGAGAGCGGATCAATAACTCTGTAGCCGATACAATTATTAGCTGAATTTTAATTTGAAAATTTCACCGTCATTTTCAAAGAATTCAATCAGTTATGTGCCATGCGTGATACTCGCTTAGGCGATCATGTATCTTTTGATACATGACTGATGAAGCAGATATTTTCTCACAGTAGGTTGCCATTTCTTTCTGCGGTAGACCAGTTGCTATCCAAGGCTATAGAACCCGGTCTGTCCTGCTATTTACCCATAGCTGGGTGGGGGGCAAAGAAGCAGAGGATTCATACCTTTCCCAAGGATATTTAGCACGTAAGTGAATGCAATGGGTTCGACTGGAATTCGAACTCGGCTCCTCAATTCGAGAATGGATTTAATTTTTAATCCAACTACTTTTCTTAACGTTTAGAGCAATAATAATAATAATAATAATAATAAAATATATAGCTATATGATATTCAATCTGTGGGATTAAGAGTGACGGGCTTCGGTGTGTTGAAAAATATAAATTTACTGGAGGAAAACAAATACTATTTTTCAACCCTTAAACTAAAGATTTATTTTGTGTGTGGGACACCTTCGCATGGTGTAAAGGTTAGCTTGTCCCGTAAGAAAAAATACGACCGAGTAGTGAGTCTGACCCTCATACTTTCGGCCTTGTGCCACATCTAAGCTACGCTTAGAAAATCACATATATATTTATATGTATGTGTGTGTTTTTTTATTCACTTCATATAAAAAAGGGATTTTTTTTATTTTCTAGAAAGAGTTTGACTGCCATTTTCTGTTGCCCTCCTCTATCAAATTTTTATTTTGCTTCTTTGCTAACGTTTCGTCTCCATCTGTTTCTCGCTACCACCCACGAAATTGGCATCTCTATCTTTGTTCTTTTAATTAAACCATTTTGATTTTGACTTATTGCCAGTTATGCGTAACATCCGGTAACTTTCAAAGAGTTTCAAATAGACTTAGTATTTCTGCTCCTGTCGGCCGAGGGATATGTTGATGTTTTAATCCTTTTGTTGACGCATCTTGCATCCTTTTTTATTTTCTAGACTATACTCTGAGCCTTTTTCTCTTGCCAATTAAACAATTTCACTTGAACTCCATGCAACATACACGTAATGGGCACTAGAGAATAGACCAACCTGAAACAGTTTGACCAAAACAACAAGATTCTGGCCTGAAAAACTAAAAGAATTAACACTAAATTTCATGATGCAACATCGAAGGATTTCTCATCTTAATTACGAATATAAATATTCGTTCTGGGTTATTTAATTTTGATTCTTCTGTTTCTGTGGACCTATTAAACGACTAAAACAAAAACCGTAAAGTTTTGTAATGTGTTCTGAGTTTAAAATGTCATTATAACTTACTTACAACGCGACAACGTTTGACACCCTTTTGAAGAGAATTACGAATCTAAATTTTCAGTCTACCTTATTTAATGCTTGACAATACTTGATACGACCGAACGGTATTTTAAAAGAATTCCGAGTTTAAATTTTCTGTTTAACTTAATTGCTACCCGATGAACTTTTAAAAGCTTTAGGGTATATTTTTTAATTTAACTTGATTACTATTCGACAGTCGTCCTAAGTGTGACGATAAATTACATCCAGCAGCAAGGCCGCTGATCGGGAGGTTTTGATTTCCCGTTTATCACCGTTTGACAACGTCCGAGAGTTTTTGTAATATAGTCCGAAACTAAAATATAATTTTCGGTTATAACCAACCGATAACGTTTAAAAGCCACTTTTAAAGCATTTCAAGTGTAAATGTCCGTGTAATTATCACCCGATACTTTAAACATTCGGATTATAAAATTTCAGTATGCATTACTTGCAGCCTGACAGAGTCGACAAAGTCCGACAGCCTTTTTCAAAAAGGCTATCTGAATCGAAATTTTTGCTTGAATTTGCCGCCTGAAACGGGATTCACTACCCGACACTTTCCTTTGTGGTTTTTATAATGTCCGACACTGCATTTTAAAAGCAATCGGTATCTAAAAATTCAATTTACGCTAATTTCCGCTCAAATACACCCGACATTATTTTAAGATAATTCCGTTTCTAAAATTTCCGCACTACACTACCCGAAAGAAAAAAAAATTATTTACTTTAAAAAAAAAATAAATTAGGAGATCATCCGATTCCGCTATCTTGATTTGAACCTTTTAGTATCTTCAGGCGATTTCGGTCAATTGATTTCCTAGCCCTTTATTTTTGTAAAAATTATGAACGCTATATTATTTAAAAATAAGTAAATAAACACACGACATTAGGTATGATAGAAGGTCAGGAAGAGGAAAGCAAGTGTATTGGAAATGTATCGGTGGTGGTGGGTTAAATTAAATATACAGACTTTCTTTTCATCCCACTTCATATGAACTCAAAAGGAACTTTTTAGTATGCAGCAATTAGTAATCTTTATGTTTGTTTTCCACTTTCATTGCTGATATATTTTTTCTTTTCATATTTTTTAACAAACGCACAACAATCAACTCATTGTTATTTAAATCCAAACACTTATTAAGTTTTCAAATTCGACTAAAAATTGCTTTATCTGTCAATTTAGAGCAGTAAATTTCAACCGGTGTGCCGTGAGAGGATCGTAGGTGTGCTATGAAAATTTTTTAAAAGGTCATTGAGTAAATTATTTTCAAGAGAAGTCCAAAGCAAAATAAGAGTATATATCAAAATTAAAACTTCTTTAAATTGATTGTATGAACATATCATTGTTAGAATAAATAAACGTATACATAATATATAAAATAATATAAAAAGCAAGCATTTCTGTAATAAACAAAATTAAAAAGAGTCTTTGAAAGAAGGGTTAAGCGTATGTCTGTCCAAAATTTGCCCTTGCAAAGGAGATATAAAAAAAATATAAAAAATACGTCAATCTCAGATTTCTTATTAAATGTTAAATTATAATAAACAGAAAAATAAATAAATACAAGTTTTTAAAGAATTTTAATTATCTTTTTCATTGCAAAGTGTAATAAATCGTTTTTCCCTGTTAATAAATAAACCATAAAAGTATACTCTTTATGATCATCATGATTTAAATGTGCTGCGGAAGTTTAACGATGTCGTGAGATAAAAAAAAAAAGGTTGGAAAAACATTGACTTGAAGTAATACCTTTAAAATGTGACAAAAATTTCCATTTTTTTTTTTTTTGTTTTAACATGACAACAAAGTTGGATCATTATAATACAGACAATGATCCCTTTCATTTACAACAACAAAAATACGGTTTGTATTCAGCTGTTATGTATGTATGTATGTATTTCAGCTGTTAAGAACAAAGTGATCAGAATGCGACATTTGAAATACCTTGGAGAAACTCAGGTCTCAGATTCTACCAACAAGAAAAGTTTAAAATAGAAAAAGATGTCAGCATGTCAAGATTCCTCTAACTTAGTGGCAGAAGAGTGGGAAGAATGGAGATATCTTAACGCGTGATCCTTATCGGTAAGGGTTTCTAAAAATGCAAACAGCAACCTAATCTTCGTTTTTTGTTTTGTTTTGTTTTTTAACAATAACAACATCTTTGAAACACAGCAAAAGTTATTTTTGCGGTAGGCCTTAAGGGATAAAAAGAACGTAATATGAAACCCAAAATATATCAACATGGAAACGTATTCGCTTTGTTTAAGTTAACCTTTTAATGACATGTTAAATGTTGCTGACCGATAAAATTTACATAATCGATTATTTTTATTTATGTTTTTTATGGCTTATCAACCTTTTGTAGGTTATTGAAAACCAGAAAATATTTTTAGATTGTAAGATTATTTTTAGAGACAATAATGATTTTACGGCCTACTAATTAACCCATAGTTGAAGAAGTGATAGATTCATACCTTTCTTAATAATAATAATAGTATTTTTCGCGTAAGTAAATATAACGAACCTGACTGGAATTGAAACTCGGCTCCTTGATTTTCATTTCAAAGCCGTTATCTATTACACCACCCGCACATCCAAGGTTATAGCACCTGGATTCCCAAGTGGTCATCCATCTAGTTACTGACCAAACTTGACGTTACATAACTTCGGTAATCGTACGAGAACCGGTATTTCAACATGATATGGCCGCAAGGCTTTATACCAGTGATTATGGTGGATTGATCACAATGGTTACAGAGAATGCAACATTTTATGAAAGCGTAAATCAAAGTATGGGATTTCATTAAACCGTCGATGTAACAAAATAAACCCAGATGGAAAAATGAAAAAAAAATCTAATCCTTGCCTATTGTAAGTTTTATCCTAGACACAGCTGAAACGAATCCTCTTTACTTGAAAGTCAATCAATTAATTTTACTTAGTGAAACGATGGCTCAAGCTAATTATTCACTAGGTCAAATTTTGACTTATTAGTCTTCATATTTGCTACAGATGTACTCGTTCCTGCACACTTAACATTCTATGAGTACGCATATCTGTACAGTCTACTCGCTGGTGCATTTCAATCATAAACAAGTAAAAACAAAATGAAGATATCTACTAAGTAACATACAGCTCATCTCTTCACCTATAACGTACAGTGACTGATAGATTGAGCGACATCAGCGTTAAATTAGGATGTGATTTGAAACAATCAATATGGTTGAGTGGTTTCCAACCATTTACCAGCAATTCCGTGGTTGCATCACCTGTGGGTGCCTTCAGTTTTCAGAATGTCATATCCCGAATTAAACTATGCTATTGTTCCCTGAGAAAGAAAAACTAGAGCAAATAATACCTTGAAGATAGAGAGCCACATCTTTTTGGACACAAATAAATATTCCGCAGGGTAAGGCGAAATCACCAAGTGCACTGCTGGTTATAATTTTGGTGCAATATTGTATGGTAGCTCAGCATAGACCCTTACCTCGAAACTGGAAAGAAGATTGAACGGAGCCTACACTTGAATGTTAAGAGTGGTTTTGAACATCACTTGGAGAAATCGTGTAATCACTGATCGATTCTATGGGAACCTTTGTCTAATATCAGAGATCATCAAAGAGCGTAGAGGCAGATTTGCAGAGCATTGCTGGAGAGCTAAAGATGAAACTGTGTAGGCACCTACAAAAGAACTTCATTGTTCTTTTGTCGGAGCCTACATAAGGAAGAGATAGTAGAGGATGACAAACCAATACCTATATCAAGCAGATTTGTAACGACATAAACTGAAATCCCTTTGACCTACCGAATGTGAAGAACAATAGCGACAAAAAACACGCTACTCTGTGCAAGCATTGCAACATTATGACGATGATGGTGATGCCCTTCAGTTTGCATAAAACCTTCCAAATATGGTGGCCACTAGTTATACGTATGTAAAGTTGAGTGTAGTGGAAATTAAGAACGTTTTAGATGTTTCATCACTGTGGTTATTTGATAAATTATCGATATCAGACTTTGGGAGACAAAGAAGTAATTAGTAAGTCACAAGAACACTAAGTGTAATGATGTAATTATTATTCAATGTGGACGTAACAAACGCTGAGTTTGTTAAAATATAACCGACATAGTTGTTCAAATGTTTTCTTTCTACTGCTAAAAAGATTCTTTAAAGAATTTTTTTTACTTACACACGTTCGGATGCGCATAAAAGTATTTTTCATTCCTTATTTGAATTCGTTAAATGTCAAACGGCTCATTCCTAAAATGTCATTAAATCATCGACGATCGTCATGGCTATAATTAATGATCATGTTTTTATTTTTATTTTATTCTAAAATCTTTCAATTTCAGGCGCATTTTTTTTATCGCAATTACTCAGAACATGATCTTGGTCACCAAATGAATTAGCAATAACGAATAAGCCTCCAGTGAGACTAAAATTCCCATGCCTTTCTCCCGGGGAGGTTGTCTTAATGTGACAACTACAGTCATTCCCCTCCAACCAATATAAGCATTCCTTCTCTTAAGACATTTTATGTTTATACACTCTTTTTATAGATACAAATATTTAAGTAAATGCTCTGTTTTAATAAACAGTATTAACGACATTTACCGCCCTGAATGTCCGAGACATTTTCACAGAAAATATTCGTCCTCCAGGCCGGTAAATGTTGTTTAATACTGTTTATTATAAACAGAGCATTTACTTAAATATTTGTATCTATAAAAATAATGTATAAACACAAAATGTCTTAAAACAATTGTCGGACTTTGTCCATTTCATAATGTGTGACGTCATTCCTTATCTTCCCCAATCGCCTGATATGCAGTCATCTCTATTTACATACACTGTTAGGAACATTTTAGTAATTTCCTCGATAAAGTATTGTCAATCATTATTAATTTTTGTTATGTAGAAAGACTGGCGAATATACTCTACACTTATTGAAACATGGACTCGTTCATCTGCTATGAGTAGAACATCTGCTCATGGAACGGGAGGGGGGCAAAAATGCGTAGCGCTTTTCAGTCGTACTGAACTACTACTATGTTCTCGTGATTAAACCATTCTTTTGTTTCCAGTGTTTTCTTTACAGTCATACTAACCAGCAACTATGAGCGTTATACAAACTTTACAACAATTTTCTAACTGGTATTTCCTTCTTCTTTACGCTACGTTGCACCTCAACACAATTCTCAGATTGTACTACTGTTAAGAGGAACAAAACGTTAATATAAAACAACTATGAATCGAACAATTAATAACGATTGACTATGCTTCATCTTAGAAATGAATAAAAGTATTATTAATGGTGAGAAAAGCAAATCAAATCTACTTTGGAATACTTGAAACATTTAGATTGAAGAACAAATGTTAATGAACTTATAGTCTATCGGTCAAATATTTTCTGCGCTACCAAGATAATATTTTGGCATCCATCACTGCTTTAGATAAGACTCAAAAACAAAGTACTTTATTATTAAATAAATAAACACGGAAAATAAATCAACGGTATTAAAGTCTTTACATTTTACCTCATATTTCAAATGCATAATTATACAAAGAAAATCACTCATGATTTATGTCTCCAAATAGGCCATTTTTATTGCTGTGATAACAATTTATTAGTTTTAAGAGATGACATATAACGTTATATCTGTAGACTATGTGTATGATGTTATTGCATCCTTTTTACATAACTGAAAATATAATCATAGATATGTACACCAATAGGTCTGCAGCTTAATGTTGAAAAAAATTGCATAACAAATATTTCTTTTTCAACATAATTCAATGGTGGATGCAGATCGAAAACTGAAAATTTTTGATCAAAATTCAGCTTATGTATCAGTTTGAGGATTTATCGATCCAGCGTTGTAATTGTACATTATCATCGTTTCCGGGTTCATGGAAGACAAATATGGAGGGGGGGGATAATATAAAGAAACACGGAAATGTTGTGAACTCTCAAATAACATTTTCTAATATTTGTTCCCGTGTTGGTGTTTTCTTAGACATATGTAAACGTTCCCAGAGCTCTTCGGTTTGGAAACTAGAGAACATTTTTTTTTAAATAAAAAGTTTCTGGAAAACTTTGCTCACAGACTTTACTTATGCTGTATTAACACATGCACAAACACTAAAAGGAATGTTTCGTTATCAGTGTTCACGGAGCAAATAAATACGTGTATATCTCTATTCATGAATCTGTAGCAGACGCTGAAAAACATTTCTTAGTAATATATAAACACATAGTAATGTTTTTTATATATATATATATATATATATATAAAACACACATAATTAATACTAACTAAAAATCTGACCACCCGCCCCCAGAGTTGAACATTGCGCCTTGGTCCTGTTTAAGTTGTTAAAGGATGTGAATTCCATATTTATTGAATCAGACCTTATTTGAAAAATTATCATGATCATGAATTATTGAATTCTATTTAAATATCTGTTCTACTTTTATTGCAACAATATAAGTATAGGTATAACTCCAAACTCTGTGTGAGAAGTTAGTTAATAAATGTCTTTAAACGTTTAACTCTTCTGATCTTCTGGTGGGCATGACTCATACAACAAATTTAAACACAATAGAGCATTTTATTTAAAGTTTTGATTTTCCGGTGACCTGAAAAACTAATCGGCAAAATATATTTTGGAAAAATGGTCATAACTTTGGTTGCTGGGTAGAAAATTATTATCGAGATATCGACATTACAGGGTTAAGCAAAAAGATAAAGAGCCGACTCTTTAGGTTTTCGGTTGAGGTGTTACATTAGAAATCGAAACTTTTCTACATAACTTTAAAAAAATCTTTAGAATTTTCAAAAGAACAATATACAAAAAAAAAAACATGTTCCGGTTTCTTATGAATAACTACATAAGATTTGGAGGTCACGTGCTTGGCCTCGAAACCCGAGGGGGCCTCAAGAAAATACCTTTAGGGGTTGTGGGGGGTCTTCTTTACAAAAAGTAGAGAGCAAAATTACGAATCGGTATTTTATTGAAAAAATACGAAGACTAAAACCAGTTCCAAAACAGCTTAAAAATGCATTTTTCGAACTTTCATTGAAGCTAAATTCGCGATGAGTTCCTCAAAGACTAATTCTCGTGCCAAATCACATTCAATCGCAAAGGTTGCCAAGTAAGACACGGTCTTTAAAAAGTCTAGTAAGACACGCTAGATCGAGTTTGTTTGTCCAGCCATCTCTTTTTCCGACCGGTGGCAGGGGAGCTCGGAAATTATCTCCCCAGGCGTACTTGACTGAGGAGGGGGAGTGGGGGGGGATTAGTTTTCGATTTAGGTTAATCAAGTTAAAACATATCTATACATTTCTCAGCTTAAGAAATGGATGACTCAAAAGAAATTAATGTCTACCATTCCCAACTCTTGCATATAGATAATACAGAGATCAAAAGCATAGTAAATGCATTTTCCCCTATTTTCTGTGTGCGTGAGGGAGAGAGAAACATTAAATATAAAATGACCCATACAGAGTCAAATCCCTGTGAGGTTTCTATTTCTGTCGCTGAGATGTTGATATATGGAAAGATATCACCTAACGTGTTCTTGCTCAATGTCAATGCAGCTTGTGAGTACAGCTGCAGAATTCCGCCTGACTGACATTTTCACTCCCTACCTGGATATCAGTCAGTGAATATTCAAAATATCTCTTTCGTCTCATTCAGAAAAGACAAG